AGTCTTGGACTGGCAACTGCAGCACCAACATGATGCTACCAGCCTAACAACAAGATGGTTAAAATTAATACTGGAAAAAAGCTATGGAAAATGCTTTTAACATTGAAATGTATTTAATAAATGTTATTCATGATGTAGCATTACTGGGGGCCAGGAGATAACTAACATGTGGATTTGTTCATTTCACTCTGTGACCTCTCTCATCACAATTTTATTTTCTTTCTTCCCCTCCCCCTCTTTAGGAAACATTCAAAATTAACAGAGAGACCATTCATTCCCTCATTTGATTAATCTGGCTGTTATTTGCCAAATTTCAGCGAGGAAGCCCAAGAGATCCCACTGAAATTTGGCAAATGAAATTTGACAAATTTATCACTGTACTATTTGTCATCTGTATCTGAATGAATTAAATGGGAGAGAGGGAGGACAGGGTACAAATAGGACCTTATGGGAACTCCATAACTTTTTTTTATTATTGTTATTTAAAACAGAGATATATTTTCAAAAAAGATAATATCTATAAATGGACAGATAACTACTGAAGTTACACAATTAATGCTCAATATAACATTAGTAAAAGAATCCAAGCAGAGTATATTGAATTGTTTTTATGATATAAAAAAGAAATATAACTTTTGGAGCTTAATGCCAAAATCTCCATTATATTATTATTTATAAATGTTAAAAAAGAAGAAAAAGTGAAACACACCTAAATATAATATAGATAAATATTTGATTTCTGACTTTCCCCTTCATTGTACTCCAGTGGATTTAGAGTACCAATTGGCATAAACTTTAGGGCCCATATTCTAAATGTTTGTATTTATCTTGCACGAAATATATAATATACAAGTAGTGGTAATTTAGCAACCACTCATTCAGTGACCATTTGAAGTTACGATGGTGCTGAACAAGGGAACTTATGACTGGTCCTTGAAGTTGCGGCCATCAGAGCATCCCGCAGTCATGTGATCGCCATTTGTGACCTTCACTGCAGGCTTCTGACAAACAATGTCAATGGGGAAGCCAGCAGGAGGCTGCAAGTGGCAGTCATGTGATGTCTTGATTATGACCACACAGGATTCATTTAACGACTGCAACTGGAATTGCCAGAACTACCATCATAAGTCAGCATGGTCACTCGATTTTCCACTTTACAACCATATTGCTTAGTGATGGAGTTTCTGGTCCCAATTACCATTATTAACTGAGGACTATCTGTATATGGAAGCCATTCCTGCTCAAATTTAAACAAACTTCTGTTATGTATATATACTCTTGATTTTGCCATTGCTGCATATACTCCAAGTGTAAGTTCCTAATCAGATATTGTTGGTACTATCTTTTTTCCAATGTTGTACAAAGTTTGTCCTCGTACCTGTTAGCACATACCTTAATAAATTATGGTATTTTTTATTGTTATGTTCTGGAAATATACCTAGTTTAAAAAATTGTTTTAACTATGTATAATTAATTTCAAATTTGATCTCTAAGATTCTCTAAATGGTGCTGTAAATGTCTTTCCAACACTTCTGGGTTTTTCTGCAAGTCCACCACATATGGCAGAATGTTCCATCTGTCTTGTGGCATTTCCACAATTTATTACTATACAATTTGTCTATTTTGGCAATTATTGATGGAGTTCTATACCATCTGTAAAATATTTTATACCAGTTCTCACTCAAACCATAGCCTGGGGTAAATTTTATAGATGCTGTATGTATAAAATTTACCCCAAGTACTTCTGGTGTCAAGTCCTTCTCTTAAGAACTTCACACCAGAGAGATAGCAAGATTTGATGCTCTCTCATCAGCTATTTTCTAAGTATATTCTAAGTCTAAGATATGGCCAAATACTATAGATTTGATGTAAGCGTCCTTGTGGTATGGGCACCATTTTTACCACAACGCTTGGAGTAAATTAATATCTTTGGGGAAAATTTCCAGAATGGTCAGAGGAATTCTTGCCATCTGGCTTTTTTTCACATTACAGCAAAGAAATGATCTATAAGGTGGCCGCTTTCTGTGGGTAGATAAGCCACTACATTTAAACCCTTCTCCTTAAACATGTTCCAAAATGTACAACTTACAGATGAGTTATTGTATAAACCTAGCATGAAGGCAAGAATTTGCTCCTCTTACTGAATTAACTAAAGGGTATTTAATTAACCGGTTACTGACCATAATAAGGTGTTCTTATTCTTAGTAGAGGAATATTGGTTTAGAATTGATAAAGAGCAACAGTTATCAAGACAGCAGCTTACCTATCAGTCCTGGAACATGTTTGCCTTTGAACCTAAAGCACGCAGTGACATTTAGACAATTCACTTGTTGCAAGCCATCATGACACTGAGGAGCTGTGATGTCAATGGATGCTGGCAGGAAAATTGAGATGCCCAAGGTAATGACAGGCCGTGATCTTAAAACAATAAGAAAAAGGAGAGACTGCATTATTTTCCATAGTATTACAGAAGTTTTTAGGTTTGGGGAAAAGTAGGTCCTACTCTATTAACTGAGGAGAACTCTTAGTTAAGTTCGCTTAGGATATCAGTTTTAATGCTGATACTGGAAATAATCAGTTATTCCCTAATGATTCCACCCCAGAGAAAATGGTAAACAAAACAAACAAACAAATACTTGTCCCATAATAATTAAAAATGGAGAAGACAAGACAAGACAAGACAAGACTCTGGATACACCAATAGCATTAAGATGCAATACTGGAACAAAATTTTCAAATAATGCAATAACCTTGTCTATTAGATATTTAACAATTACAGGAAAAATGAACCAATATTCATATGGAACCATATAGTTAATGCTTGCCAAACGAAAAATAGATCTGGAAGCCCACAGAATTCAATTATGTGCAACAATGCTAAGAGAAGATGACAGAGGTGAGACAGCTTCATCTGAAGGAATAAACTGTGGACTCCCTGACTGGAAAATCCAGTCATATACAGTAAGCACCTATGGGAAAGAAAGTAGCTACAGCATATTATTTCTCTCTGCCTTAAAAAAATATCATACTATGTTGGTTTTGGACTTAGCTGTACTCAGAAAATCCACTGAAATTGAAAGGACTTACTGGACATTCTCTGAGTATAATTAAGAGTGAATCCAACTCATTATGTTTAACCTTTTTAAAGTTTTTCAGTCATTTTAGATGCTGGTTGTCAAGCAGAAAGAAAAGGCATCAACATTAATAAATTAAGAGATACCAGCTCAGATACTTTCAGCAGGCAGTCTAAGTCCTGTGGGAAGCACCTCACAATTTGCCCATCACATCTTACACTCTTGTGTATATCAAGATGTCATCTATTGACATTTAAAAGCTAACTTCCTAACAGGCTCCAGGCCAGTATACTTTTAAATTGGCATACATTCTCCACTTAGAGGTGGGACCTAGAAACATTCAACACTTATATCAAGATATTAAAAATGCTTTAAAAATATCAATGTCACCCCAATATTGTATCTACAACGCACAGTGCAACCTATCAGCAGCATGGAGCTGTCCATGGTCTGATAGATTCTACTATTAACAAATAAATAATTTTTAAGCAGTTATTCTTCTAAATGTGCTTTTCTACATTTCTGCCATAGAAATAGTTCAGTTTTTCAGGAACAACACTATATATTTACTGCCAAACTTCCAGTATATAATTTTCCTAAATTTAGTAAAACACCATTCCATTGTGGCAAAGTTCAAGCACAATGCAACTGCTCTTTTCAAAACTCCTTTACTTCTTTGAAATGAGTGAAAAATATTTATTCCAATGTTTCACTACAATTTTTTTACCACACCATATAGCAACACCACAAGCAGCATTTTAAGAGAAAAATACTCTTCCCTTTTTTGCTATCTAGAAACTGTTGTAGGCTTTTTCACTGCTGCTTTTCTTAATTGCAGTAAGATTGTTATTTTCACATAAAATCCTTAAACTGAACAGTGATTTCTTTTTGCGTATGGATAGACACCATCAGTTTCACACTAATCAGCTGCATATTGACTACATCCAAGAAAAATTCAGGTAAGTGTGAACATAAAATCACATGACTTCTACAATTTGTAGTAAATTAGACAGTTGCTTCTTCAAAATCAGTAGTATTATCCAAGAACTATTGCCCATGATGTGCCTTTTAAAGAAACATACCAAACATGAGCTCAGCTTCATTTCATTCACCTTTCTCGATTTAAAGTAAAATGATTGCAAGAGGGCTGAAATCAAGTTTCCTATTTTTTAAAATGCAGGGTTGGATGAGCGTGCTGCGTGGAAAAGATTTGGGGATGGGAACCACCTGAACAAGTGCAAGAAATAGAAAAACATGGCAAAAGCAAAATGCACATTATGCCTATTTTAATTACAGACATTCTTTATCAACAATACAAAGAGATTCAGAGAGAAATACAACACGTCCAAATGGCACAGGGATATCCATCTAATCTATTTATGACCCCAACTTCAGCCCTCATTGCCTGCTTCCCAGAACACCAACACCTGCTCTTGAATCCCAGTTGCTGGGTATTACTTCCTGCTGCCCCTCCTTTCCTTCCTCATGCTTCCAGCCAATCCACCCAAACCTTCACTCAACACCTTAAATATTTGACCATCTATAACAGGACACAGTTGCTTCCTGAAGTACACACATTAATATTCCTCTCCATGCCAAGTTAGAATAGAATTGCAAGGCAGCAAAACACATACATACACACACACCTCTATACAAACCTTCCAGTAATATTCTATGTGATACAGTATTTATTTTCTGTATTTTTCTATTGCCTTTCAAACTGCTATTGTCACACAATTCAGCTCACCTGGGTTTTAAAAAACAGGGGACTACCGTAAGCTTACAAACCAAAAGAATAAGAGAGATGAAGCAGCAGAATTCAGGAAAGATAGTAGAGAATTACCAGTTTTTCAAAGCCATAATCAGGTGATGAGTTATAAATGAACATTATCCTCAGGTCAAGCCAATTTTTTGCTTGTATTCTTATATGAATAGGATGGAATAGATTGAATTTGTGAACTTCTTTCCCCAATATGCATTTTGCTTAAAGCAGTGAAGGCTGATGTGCTGATTCTGGTGGCCTATTCATTCAGGACACTATTTTTTTGTAAGACTGTCTTGTAAGGCTTTCATCACAGTTGCTGAACTAAAGGAAAAGATTCTGTCTCATAAAAAAGGAGGGGCATTCTTGCTGATTCTCTCTAGATCCATCTTCTTCCCTTTCTTAGAGGAAACCACTTGTCCACGTAAACACTCTGTGGCCTAAAGAAGCTTAAATCAATATTGATTGATATATTATATTTATATCCTGCCTTTATTTATTTATTAGATTTATAGTCTGCCTTTCATTCAGGAACCTAAGGTAGTGTACATAGCACTTCTTCCTCTCCTCTCCACAAAAACAAACCCATAAGGTAGGTTGTCCTGAGAGGGACTGATTGCCCCTAAATTACCCGGTGAGCTTCCATGGCTGAGGGTGAACTAAAATTCAGATTTGTTATTCCTGGTCCAACATCTTGACCACTACACCTCACTGGTCTTTGATATTTATGGCTAAGCCTTGTCACACTATCTCTGTATAAGGTTTGTTTCATTTTGACTTTATGTGAAGTATGAGATCTCATTCACTGTATTTTACAAGCCTTGAGATACACTGAATATACTGTAATCTGTGAATGCAGCCACTGTAGCAACTACGCTTAAATAAATCACAGCACAGAAAAGAACTATGCAGGCTTCCGAAATTTCTAACAATTTATAATGTACAGAAGAGTAAAATGGCTAAATACAGGACCAGAGATTAATCACATGAAGTATATTTACTTTTCATTAAATTCAACTATAATGAATTGGTGGGTGGCCTCCAGCACATCACTCAAAGCTCAAGCATGGCTCTTGGCCCTGAAAACTTTGTACATTCCTGACTTAGAATAATTTGTGAATCAATCCAGTGTACTCTCTCGACAAGGATGAAATTCAGGAAGACCAGTTAGCTAGTTTTATAAAGACAGAAAGATCTAGTGTATTTTCCATAAAGTTGTGTAGGAAATATATATCAATAGCTAATTCCTAGTGCAATAACCATCTTTTATAGTATTTTTGGAGATTCAAATAATGACTGCCTATTTCATCCTCTCTTTAATATTACTGGTGACAGCTTGAGATTTATACAAGCTATGCCCTGGCTTGTTATGGCAATTTCAAGTTGAAGTCAGTCATGTGGCTATTATGACCCTACATTAGTTTTCTCTGTCACATGACAAAAAGAAAGCTTAGACATTGGTTAGGAAGTTAAAGAGCCCATTTAGTCATTACCACACATGAAAAACACACAGCCTAAGTAGAGGTGCTTGGTTCACTCAAGATTTTGCATCAGCCAATGGATTAATCATAAAAAAGCAATGTCCTTTCTTCAAATTCCATATTCATTCTATAGATCAGTGGTTCTTAAACCATTTTACCCAATTACCCTTTTCCTGGCCTCAAATAATGTCTTTGCCCCCACAAAAAAAAAAACAAAAACAGACCCTGTTGTTTTACACAAGGGTCTCAACAGCAACAGTCCCAAACTGGATCCTTGACTCCCAAACAACCAGTTACAAATTGCTCCATTACCCCAGGATATGCCCAAATTACCTCCAGTTTAAGAACCACTGCTAAAGAGTATATAAATATATTTGTTTTTCAGAAAACCTCAATTTAACAAACCCCCATTTAGTGAAATTTGGATGTAATGTACCAAACTGCTGTCAGGCATCCTCCCAAAATAATAGTTTGTTGCATCTGGACAAAGCAGTTATATTTATATTAATTTTACCTCAATTCTGTGAGATCGACAGTGTTTATATTATTATGCAAATGACATAAGTTGACACAAGTGATGCACTTTCATATTTAATGAGTAATTAGGAATTATAGATACCCCATCCTCCAAGTTTTACTGTCTTAAGCTTGACCTATTAAGCAAAAGCTTTTTTTCCCCTTTTTTCCTTAATATCTATTAAGCTTAACTATCTTGGGAATGGGGAGATCAGAAAGCTGAAGCCTCCATATTTATTCTAGGGAAATACAGGTTCCCCACCATGCAGACATGAAGCCCCCATTTTAAAAAAGACCCAAACCAGATCCTGTGATAACTTGCACAGAAAAAGTGTAATGTATTTGACTCTTTTGTTTAATTGGGTTCTCTTTATCTAGTTTTAGGACTTGTGTGGAGAACAGAACATGATTTAAGTCATATTTATGCAAAAATATTGAAAATTCAAATGGGTTCCCAAATTTTTAAGCACTACTGTTCATATAAATATAGCACCAACTTTATGAAATTTGCTTGCCACAGAAACATGTCAAAAATGAGAAACCATAAAACAAATACAAAAAATGTCTAAACAGATGAATGTTGTAGCAATTTTTCTATCAATCAGTTGAGACAACACAATCAGTGGCCCTTGGAGTTATCCAGGAAAAAAATATTTCATATTTTTTCAGCATTCACTATCAAGCTACTTTGATCATTTTCTGGCCATGTTACTACAGCTGTTTCCTCTAATCAGATAATCTACATAGCGCTTCTCTCGCAAGCTGCCTCAGTGGACCACAGTTTTTTTTTAGAAAAAGATAATTGCTGCCTTTCCTAATTCTGCAGTCTCAAACCATCCATTTAACTACACATACAATTTTAACTGATCCTTAAACAGTTGCTTTAAAAAAATGCCTTAACAAGAATAGCCCTAGTTGTTCATCTTTCTTTGATAACTTCTTATGCACCACTACCAGAGCTGTAAACAAGCTGTAAACAAGCTCAGAATTATATGGGACTTCGTGTATCATTCTAATACACAGTGATACAGTACTAAGCCATGAAAAGCCTGTCTGCCAGGAAACCAGTACAAAGACTTCCAGATGAGGTTTTTCTTGTACAATCCTTCAGCCTTGCTCAGACAATTTAAGGGGGAGCCAGATGATGTCACCCTCAACTTGTAAACTTCCAGTATTTTCATACCATTGCTTTCTTCTCACTGAAAATTCATTAAAAGGAAAGAGAAAGAGACAGAGAGAGGGACAGACAGGCAGACAGACAACAGATATACAGTGCTTCTTATCGGAAATACTAGGAGCTGTCAGTCTGGAAACACCTGAAGAGTACTTTCAAATATTGCTGTTTGCGTACTATGATATACCACTCCACTAACAGTTTTGACAGTGAAAGTATTAACATACAATTGCTGCTATCAGCTCCATTATTTATGCAAGCAGCAAACAAATACCATTATTTTTTGAATCCAGTTTCAAAATGTGGTTGTGAATACAGGGCTTAGGAGAATTTTGTTTCTTCCAAAGCCAAACAGGGGGACAGTAAGTAAAAGGAACAAGATAAACGAAGCTCACCTTAGAAGAACTACATTGTTTGACATAAAGGCACCAATCGTCACATCTGGAAAAAGAGTTGATAGCATTTAGAACAAGCATGTTTCCTGGCACCCATCCCCACAAATCCAAATTAACGAAAACAATTCAACGTTTATCATGAACTTCTCCTGAAATATAATGCTCCAGGACAATACATTCCTGAACATTCTCCCTATATCAATATGTAAGATATTTTCACGTGGAAATATGAAAATAGGTACTTCCACTACAAAACACCCCCCTCAAATGGACTCATGCCACAAAGGGAATAAGGATAATCTAAATAATGTTTGGATAACTAAGTTCACCATTGTTTAATTCACTGTCTTGTTACTAAGCTGCAATATTAACAGCTTCCACAGAATTGATCCTAGGAGACCAAGTTTCATGATTTGTGAATATACAATCACTGGTTATCTTTTTAAAGTTCATATCACATTTCTTATTTTCTAATATAGGGTCCAGATCTGTTCCAAACTTAAGACAGTATAGCCCAACTAACTCCCCCTTGCCGTAAATGCCCTGAAGACATGTTTACTATATTATGTAGGCACATTTTAATGAAAAAAAAGGAAAATGGAAGTATACGAATCCTTGACTCTTTAGTTCTTCCATTAATTTTAACTATTGATTTGCATTATAATGACTGCCAGAATTACAAGCCTACCTGGGTAACCATTTCCATCCATATCAACTCCCCCAGAAATGGACTGGCCAAACATCTGCAGCCTTGGACTTAACTGTCTTCCAGATATCCTCTGAAACAGACAATTCAGAATTGATATCAACCAAACTCTTCTCATTCATTTGGATGGAATTGGGCTGCATTGGTTGTGAACCATGTATTATCTCTAGGTCACACAGATGAGAAAGAATGTGTTTATAGACTGATATCAAGACCAACACATAGATGCAAGATTTTCTACTCTCAACTAAGGCATCACAACTAGAGCTAATCCACTGATACTAAGCCTCTTTTGTTTGAGGAACAGTAGGTTTTCTTCTTTCAGAGGTGACATATACTGGCTGTATTAGATTGTATAAATCAGAAAAGATGAGGGGGGGGGTATCCCACTGAACAATGTTGTCTCTTCTCCCCCACTTGTCCTATGACAATGATTCATAGTTCAGCATTACTTCCAAAACATTACAACTAGTGGGCTTGTTAGATAATACAGACTGGTGTTATGCTGAGAAAATAACAGTAGTACCTTGGTATGGGAATGTTACAAATTTTTTTTTTTTGTTTAGTCGTTAAGTCGTGTCCGACTCTTCGTGACCCCATGAACCATATTGCGCCAGGCCTTCCTGTCCTTCACTGCCTCCCTGAGTTTGCTCAGTTTCATGCTCATTGCTTCAGTGATGCTATCTAACCATCTCATCCTCTGCCGTCCTCTTCTCCTTTTGCCTTCAATCTTTCCCAGCATTGTATGGCTGTGAGAGCTGGACCATAAAAAAGGCCGAGCGCCGAAGAATTGATGTGCTGGGAAAGATTGAAGGCAAAAGGAGAAGAGGACGGCAGAGGATGAGATGGTTAGATAGCATCACTGAAGCAATGAGCATGAAACTGAGCAAACTCAGGGAGGCAGTGAAGGACAGGAAGGCCTGGCGCAATATGGTTCATGGGGTCACGAAGAGTATCAATTCTTCGGCGCTCGGCCTTTTTTATGGTCCAGCTCTCACAGCCATACATTACTACTGGAAAAACCATAGCTTTGACTATGCGGATCTTTGTCGGCAAGGTGATGTCTCTGCTTTTTAATATGCTATCTAGGTTTGCCATAGCTTTCCTCCCAAGGAGCAAGCGTCTTTTAATTTCATGGCTGCAGTCTCCGTCTGCGGTGATCTTGGAGCCCAAATAAATGAAGTCTGTTACTGCTTCCATTTCTACCCCTTCTATTTGCCAGGAATGTTACAAATAAGAACAATTAATACGACTTTAAATTTGAACATAGAGGAAATATCTCTGCAGGAAGTCATTAGGTCTCTGACTCCTGTTGATCCAAAATGTGCAAGAGAGATGCTCAGCTGCACTGAGCTTCTGTTCATCCACAGAACAAATACAATAGTTAACTGAGAGACTTTGCTGGAGAACATTGTCCATTCTATAGGAGACTAGTACCTCCTTGTAAGAGACTAGAATATAATATCCTCCACTTTTGGTTTAGTGATAAACCGGAAAAATGAAACTCTCCAAAGTAATCAGTAGTTTACAGCCCCAGATATAAAGGACAATAGCCCCAGCCCACTGTCAGATGGGAGAACTGGGAAAAAAACTACAGACGTAAAGGAGGGGAAAGGAGCTTTTAAATCTTCCATCTTAAAAAAAAAGTTACAAAGAAAATGTTGCCACTTTTGGAAATGAAGGCAACCGAAAGCAGCTGGACTCCTCAAATTACATTTACACAAGAGAATGTGGCTTGGATTTTGCGGGGGGTCCCTGTTAGGGTGGTAAGAACAGAGCTATACAATACATATTCCACAGACATCTGCAGGCTATTAGGATGTAAAGGTTGGAGAATAATGCTACACAGCTTAGAGAGCTGCAGATGAAACTAAGGGCCCCAAAACTGAGCTTGATAGTATTGATTTAGTAGAGACAATTATCTGCCAGCCGGTTAAGGTGCTCCAGGTATGCCCAGGATTTTGCTGTTCCAGAGGTTGAAAAAAAAGTTATTTAAACACTTTCTAAAATTTTTACCAAAGTATCTATAACTTTAAACAAATGCCCCCTTTCTTCTCACAGTTGTGTGCTATGTGTGTGAGAGAGTTTTACAAAATCCACAGCATCTGGATCGTTCAGAGTTAAGTAACCAGGCCCAAAGCCTTTCACCCCAAGGTTACTGGTTCACATAGAGGCCAGGTAGGCAGACGTTACAAATTAAACATCTGAAAGTGTTTGATGGATTTGTGAGCCAAATGAATGGCTGACCTACAGCCCTGGTCCATGTGAATGAGACAAAGCAATATAACGTGACCGCTAGAAGCCTGAAGCAAAGAGAGAGAAAGAAAAAGAATGGCAGAGATCAAGGACAGACAAGTAATGGAAAATCATTGGCAAGAACTTCTCCAGAAAATCCAAAAGCTGACTTTTGGAGAGAGACAGCAGTTTTTTTTAACTGTTTGCCAATATTAAGCTCTCTTTGTATGAAACTCCAATATTGCCTCAAATGTGAAAAAAGAAACAAACACTATTTCCTCTTCCAAATTCAGATATCCTCAGCCAAACTGTCATTATCCATCTGAATCAATTCTGACGTCCCCACTCTCTTCCCCATGGGCAGAAATAATTGTCCATGCACCACAAATTATCACTTTCACAAACTATCATAAAAAGGGATTTAGCTCGTGTTATTTTGTTTCAAAAGAGAGTTAATGCATTCTAAAACAGTCAGCAAGCAGCAGAACTAATCATCTACAGCCTGCTCAAGTGATCTCAGATGCAACCACTAAACTCTGACTTAGCATCCCTCATGAGCCCCCACCCAGCAACAAAGCAAAATATTTAGACCAGTACTTTAAACAGCCAAAGGATGAAAAAAAAAACAAGTCTTTCTTTTTTTTTTCCAAAAGCCCCCTCTAAAGCAAAAATACAGCACTAACCAGATTGGGACAAAAGGCTCATGTTGTGATCTAGTAAACACGTACCTTGAAAAATTAGTATTTATTACAAGAAGCAGAATCGGTCCTTGACTTCCACTATTATGGTCAAGAATCTAAGATGAAGTCAGTAGGAAAACCTTTTAGGAAGGGACTCGTAGAGTAAATTTAGTGGAATAGATGTTAAATGGACTTGGTGTTTCCCTTATTTGAGCCAATAAAATCTGGCTGTGGCATATTATTCCAAGTACTTTAAGATAAAGCATGAAACTTTATGATGAAACAAAAAATGATATGTTTGTATCCCTTCTTTTTTTTTCCCCAGTTTGTTTTGGGTTTTGGGTTTTTTGTACCTTTTCCCCCTTTATTTCTGCATAATAAAGAAAATAATGATGAAATACCTACCCTAATTTTTTTCCATGGGCAGGTATGGCAGTTAAACCTTTGAAATGCCAGCTTAACTTACCGTATGATCTTCATGTAATCAATATTTTCAATGATTTTATCTCACATTGGGAGTATCAGCTGGAACAGTGGCAAAGCACCGCGTGGTGGCAACATTGATGGCAGACTCCTGGACAAAGGCTTCTCGAGTACGTACACAACTCAAAGCCCTTTTCACAACTGCACTATTGAGCAACTGGCTACTTCCTGACATTTAGATCTGCCCTGATTTAGCTTGCCATATTCTTACAACTCCTTGTAACATTTAGTACTTACCATGGAATATCGAGGAATAATGCCCCCAATGTGCCCATGATAGATATACACTGCTCCTGCATAGTCGTCTTCTTTCGGAGCACTAATGGCAACATCTAAATAAGGCAAAACAGTATAAGAAGTGAGTTTTCTTTAGTTCCAAAGGTGAATTCTTTCCACAGCCTGCCTTCTTTAACACAAAGACAAGAGCCACAGGCTTAGTGGCAGTCTGATTTACAGAACGTTACCTCTTTGCACAAGCATTGGATATTTAAAAACAAATAAACCCCTAGATTTGTATTACACCTAATAAGAAACATGTGTTTAGGTTCTATAAATAATATCAACTATGCACAGGAGAATCCTTGTCCATCTTGACTTGCTTTATGAATCTCAAGGGAGATCTTAGGTAATTGTAGATGAAGCTGGGAGCTGCACACAGAATACAATTCCCTACCACATAGCCAATCCATAGCGTAGTCACTGAGAAATCTTTTCAAAATGCTCAGGTCTCCAAAATGTTATGATAATGCAAGTTAAGTTGGACAGGAGATTCAACATACAATCTTAACTGGCTTAAATGATCTGATTGTATTTTTGTTTGTTTCACTTTGTCTAAAAAAAGATATAATGAGATCATTGAAGCCAGTTAAGATTTTATTTATGAACACACTGCAAAGCTGCTTAAAACACAACTGGAAACTTTAATCAGTAAAACAAACTAGTTTCCATTTAATTAACAGAAGCCGACTTTAGCTGTGGGGATTAATTTAGATTCTGGGTTAAGCGTAAATTATTTTTAGGATAGTTTCTTGTTTACCATCCCTGGACTTTTTTCTATTCGGCTCCCATTATAAGAACTGCTAAATAACTTAACACAATTCAGCTTGAAGTCGCTTGTTTTCCTCTCTTCTTCTCTCCATTACTGTATGCCCCTTTTGGAGCACAGGCTAGATTAGGGAAAATCAGTTTCTTTCAAAAATTTGAGATAGTGTATTGAAGGAAATCAGTTTATTTCCAAGGGTAGAGATTAAAAACAAAAATCTAGAAACCCTGCTTCCCTATTTTGTCTATATACACATGAGGCCCTTGGACATGCTTCACAACAAATACTAAGCCAAAAAAAACACCCCAGTGCATCTGTGCCTTCAGTACATTAACAAATGCATGCATAAAATTATGATAGTTCTATATTATTATATATACTCTGTAAATACCAGGTTTATCTTGCTAAAGCAAGAAAGAACAGAGGCCTGGTGCAAAAGAAAATATACTGACCTGGAAATCCATCATCATCAATATCCCCCAGGGACGCCATGCTTTCCCCAAAGTGTGCATTGTAGGCGTTATCACCATTCAGAACAAGCTGCTCTTCCAGAACACCCTAGCAAACAGGAAATAGGCCAGGCTAAGAAAAATAGAGACTAGTGTTGAAAGACACATGACCCCTGACGCTGGAAGAGTTTCATGTACATGTCCTTCAGGAAACACCTGGAACGTATCTGGGGTAAGATTCCTGAACTCCTGACCATCAGTTTCAGTCAGTGCAACTACACCCGGATATCATAGAGAGGAAATCAGTGTAAATTAAAAAGGTACTTAATTGCTCCTGAAAAGGAAATCACTGGCCTGGATAGCACTGCAGACTAATACATGACAAATCTAATTTCTCAAAATCCAACATTCAAAAAAATCTCATGCATGTCAAATCCTCCATATGCATTAATGCAGTTAAACAGCCAGTAAAGTAAATAGCTTCTTTTCTGTTGAAATGAACAGCTGGGAGGAAATACTAGAACATAACACATTCAGCAAAATCCTCCCACAATCACTAGAGATGGGACAGATAAGTCAGTTCAATCAGTGTTAAAATAATTCAGTTAAACATGTTGATCCAGCAACAGCACAGAAACCATGTACTTTTTGCCTTTACCTGCCAATGAGCCATGCTGATGTCACAGCTGGATCGTTTCAGAAGAGGTATTCTCTCTTATGTGTAGGAAAACAGGGAATACCTCTTCTGCAGTGTTGACTGCAGTGATATCTGCATAGGAAACTAGAAAGCAAAACTAACCAGCAATAGGCATGTAACTATATGAGCCTTCCTATAGCTAATCAGGGTTTCTTTAATCGAGTGATAGCCTTGAAAACAGACTGCCCTCTATTATAACAAAAGATGTAAATGCCAACTGGCAGATCCTTCATACATATCTGAATATAAGCAATATTCTACATTTGGCAAAGCCTCGGATGCAAATGCCAAAACGCTTAGCATCACAATGAACAGGCAACACACAAAGCCAAAGAAATAATCCAATGGATTCAAATAATGGGAAAGAGATTTTGACTAAACAGTAGCAAGAAATTTCTGATTTGACAGGGGAAGTAGTCTGAAAGGCCACCTACTGGTAGTAGTAAATTTCCTGCAAGAGCAGCGGGTTGAACTAGATGGCCTTTGTAGTCCCCTTCAATTCTATGATTCTACATACCGTATAATAAATGAGAGCTGTGGGTTTTGGAGGTGTGCTCTGCTAATCTGAACTTTCCAAAGCAACTGCTTTTAACTTGAACTTCTACCACGGTTCATGGGTGTTTCACTATAGTCTCTAATAGGAAACACAACCTGCTGAATCCATTCCTTAACCCATTTTTAATCCTATTTTTTTTTTGCTTCCAGCATGGAAGGTAATCATGACACTGAACCCAAAATAAATAATTTGGCTTGATGTCCTGCAGATTCATTGGCGGCGGCGGCGGCAGCATGTTTTCAAACTGCTAACAAATCCTAAAAGAATGTTTTTTCTTGCCCAAAAACGGTAGCCAACTAGTAGTAGAGATGGGCAAATTCCCCTGGTCTCAATGTGGAATTGAGCATACAAAATTAAGTCAACAAATAGCTCTCTTCCCCATTCTAAATCTGGAAATTCCTGTCACCAGGAATAGCAATGGGCTTTAAACATTTTGCATCCAATCCTGTGATCCCCCAGTCCCACTGAGAACTTATAGATCTTGCTCTACCCATCAATTTCCCAAATACTGGCAGGAAAAAATACCTCTTTGAAAATCTTTGTGGGAGTTGGCATCCCACTCTCTCTGATAATATGGTACCAGGACATTCTAAAGGCCCTGGGAAACCCTCTGGGGCTCCTTACATTTTCAGATTTCCTACTATTGTCATGTACTAGGAAAGAAAAGTTCACACAGGGCTTCCAGCGAAAAAAGGAGCAAGAGGCAGGAAACAGGAGGGAGGAAGACAAGCCAGACCTGCATTCAGTTTGGGGAAGGACAAGGCTATTTGAATTAGAGGAATCTAGTAATCGTGACAGCTAGCATTGGTAATTTTGTGGTGCCAGAAGTTGTGCCTGTCTGGTACAGAGTTATACATGACACATTGCTTGCTCTGCAACCTGCATGTAGATGATGTGCCACTATCTGGTTCTCTGACTTGGGCATTTGCCTCCAAGTTGCCCATAATTATATGAGCACCTTCCTCCAGGAATGAGTTTTATTTGTCACAGAAAAAGGTGGCTATACCTTGAAGTCTGTATTTGGGGGTCTTGGTTAGAAGCATTATAAAGAGAAATATTTGACTTCAAATTCAGATGGATGGATGGATGGATGGATGGATGGATGGATAGATAGATAGATAGATAGATAGATAGATAGATAGATAGATAGATAGATAGATAGATAGACAGACAG